GAATTCCCCTTTTTTATTTTAAGTCTTTTTAACTCTAACGATTTGTTTACCTCTCAGACCACTAAGAATCCTTCATGGACCTCCAGAAGTCTGCGGTCCATAAGTTTAAGAACCTGTGAACTAGGTTTGTGCTCCTTGTTTCTACACAAAATCCGTCCAGACTTATGAGCTCTGTTTGGACCTGGCTTTAGGCTCAGTGCTGGAGGCAGTCAACTTACATTATCATCCAAACCCAGACCACTGAACCCTTTCCTGTGATTTTGTGGCTATTCTTTCATTAGTTTCCTTCTCCTCTTTCTGGTTTTAGGCCCGACTGTTTGGCCCTCTACTATTCAGCCATTCACACACAAAGTCTGTTTGGAAGGTAAAAGCCAGCAAGAAAAAAAAAACACACTTACCTTTTCTCAGATATCCCTTCAGTGCAAAATCGTTTGGCTCGTTGGTTTTTCTTTACGACGGCATTAAAAGCAGCGAGAAAGGGGAGTTTATTGTTTCAGTCTGTTTACTTTGATAATTTATGATTAATTTCGCATGTGTCTTGGTCTGACCCTAAGGTTTGGAAAGTGTGGTGTCATTCGTGTCTGGATTTTAGCTTGGTCTGCTAGCTTCTTGGAGATATGTCGGGTTTACCGCAGAAAGCTCCACAGTTTGGGGGGGGTTCTGCTTTTTTCAGTGAGATTAATATGTTGTTGGCCGGAGCTGAGTCATGCTGCATGTTTGCATTGGAGAAGCTGTCAAATCATCTTCATCGGTATTATTCTAAGAATTGTTGCTTGAAGCAGAAGTGCTTTCTCACAGATGAAGCTCTTTCAGATGTCTATAGCGGTATGAAATAACAGATGTATAGACATGTGCTGATCAGTGGGATTTAGGACTTCCTGTGTCAGGTTATCAAAATGATTCAGGAAGATGTTATATTATACTTGGCGATTTGATGTGGAGATGTGTGCCAAATTATCAACATGAAACACCATGGGTCATGTTCTTTTGTTTTGTTTATCAGCTGAAGTGACATGCAGAGATATTAAGAGATCTGTTTGTCCAAACAATGGAAGATGGTGGGAATCCTGTTGGAAATTAGTCATTATTTTGGGGTTTGCATTTGATGACAGCTTTAAATGTCATTCTCTTACTAAATGAGGCATATGTCCCAGGTTTTTCATTTTTTTCCCCATTTTTTTTTTATTTTTAGTTGTTTCGTATTGTTTTGTTGTATGATGTATTGTTTTGTTTTGTTGTGTTTTGCTGTTTTGTTTTTGTTGTTTTGTATTGTTTTGTTTTATGTTGAGTTTTGTTGTGTTTTGTGCTTTTTGAGCCAAGTTTCATAATGCACTGTATGATTGTCATGGGGGAAAAAAACAAAACAAAACATAAATGTACATGTTTTTCCACAATCATATATGTAAATAAATAGCAATCTACGTCTTTACACAGAATATTTACATAATTATTTATACAAATATTTCCCCTTATACTTATATACCCCTTATACTTAGACCAATAAATTTATAGGTAGTCATTTTAGAGCGACTCTGAGAAGAGATGATTTTATTCAGACTCTCTGCACTTAAGATTAAACATGTGACAGTGGTTTACAAGGGACATGACTGAAACACAAACCTTTGAGTAACTATAGAGTACAGAGAGGAAAAATCTGAGGTTGTGTAAACGCATTTTAATCTCACATATAAAAGGCCGTGTTCATTTTGGGCCGGATCCGTCTTAAGCTGCACCATTGCTTTTCTTACTGATGGCCGTCTTCTTTCCAAATGCACAAAATCAAGGGCTCAGTTTGGGTAAGAGACATAAATGATACAGTTTGTATTTCCAGTTTAAGAGAATTTGTGCATACAGAAAAAACACAGAGCATTTTATATGTTTGCTTTGTGTGGGTTAATGTTTTGGTTTAAGGGAAAGTGTCTCCAGCATCCAGTATGAAGGATGGTTGGATATCCATTGAATATCAAATAGGAAAAAAGTAGGAGGGGCACATTAAAATGTTTAAAATGCACATTAAATTTATTTCTTTTTTTGTGGTGTTTTAGTCTTTTTTGAGTTTTTTTGATTGTGCTTTGTCATGTTTTTGTTTTGTGATTTTTTTCATTTGTTTTGTGTTTTTTTGTTTTGTTGCATAGTTTTATTTTGAGTTTTGTTTTGTCGTATTTTTTGTTTGTGCTTTGTCATGTTTTTGTTTTGTGATTTTTTAAATTTGTTTTGTGTTTTTTTGTTTTGTTGCGTAGTCTTTATTTTGAGTTTTGTTTTGTTGTATTTTTTGTTTGTGTTTTTTTTTTTTTAAATATTTTATTTATGACTCTTTATTATTTATTGCCAATAACTGACATTCTGCCCGAGTTTTAGTCAGCTGAGCCAAAGTTTTAGTTTGCATTTGGCCATATTTTTTTACAAACAAATTATTTGCAGTTTACACATAGATTAATCCTATTTCTCTACTTTAATACGGCATCCTACTTTGATTGATGTACTGCAAACGAAACACTGTATGTTGGCATCTGTAGCCAACACTGATCTTAGCATGTGAATACTGCATTACCCATGTGTGTTTGTGCATGTTTGGTTCTATATTTCTGCTAGTATTCACATCATCAGTGGTTCTCATTCTGGTCCTAGAGATCTTACATTTTCACATGGGCTCGCCAGCAGTACCAGACAAGTCAACAGCTCTTCAGATCTTGGCAGAAGTTGAGAGTAGAAGCAAGAGTCCTGCCGTAGCCAGCAGGGGCTTAGTGGAGCAAATCTTTCCATTTCTATTATATCTGAAAGTTGTTTTTCCTCTATTGAGCGGTGAATAATGAAAGTTCATGACATTACACGTGCCGTGGCATTGTGGGAATACTAAAAGAACAGTGAGGGTCTCGGCGAAAGAGAGCGCAACAGCCGCAGCAAAAGCAGATCCCATGTCCAATTTGAGTCTCTATTTTCCCGCCAAAAAAATGTCTTGGTCTGAGGAGAAGCTGTTGCTCATACAATTAGCCTACGTGTTCCACTTGTGCTTTCCAAGGGTCGTGGCAGCCTGGTTCGAAGTCCAGCTGAGTGTGTGTATCAGACATTTACATAATGAAGAGAGGTTAGAGGTAAGGTGTACGTCGTAAACACGCAGATTGTGCTATTTGTGGTGTCCTCATGCGTAACTCTTTTACGTGGCAGGTTCATAACTGAAACTGATTGCTGCACTATATTCACCCAAACCTGCTGACTACGCCAAGTACGCACAATGGAGTAACCTCCTGATGCACTGCCATATGCTAATTAGTAATAACAATGAGACATTGATGGATGAGTGTAGGCCATGTCAGCAGGTGTTTCCTGTCCAGCACATATGGTTGATAAAAGCCAAAGAAGTGGTTTTGAAGTGCTACACTGAAGTGTTTTAAGTGCTCATGCGGACATATAAAATTAGAAAGACAGTATTTTGGTCATAAAGGAATCACTGTTTTAGAGCTAAGTGAACAAATCTTGTAAGTGAACAGATCTAAGTGAATATATTTTGTAACACATATTAAAGGGGAATGGATTTTCTTCAAAGTGAAAATATATTTTGTAATTGAACAGATCTTGTAAGTGAACGGATCTCTGAACGAGTCTGTGTTTTGAAACTGAATGAAGCATCCTGTTTGTGAATGAACTAAACATACTGGGATGTGAATGAACAAGGCCTATATTGTTTGTGAATCAGACATGCTGACCAACGATGACTGAACAAAGATTGACATGTTGTTCATTCATTGCAATACATTTCAGTCTTATTCAATAGGCAAAGAAAGTGGGGGTGCAAGAGTTATTCCAGTTTGATATTATTGAAACTCATAATTAACTTTTAAATTATGTATGTATTTATTTATTTAAATGAATACTAATTTATATTGCATTAATTTGATGTATGATAATTACATTTATTGTCTATTTATTGCAATTTTTTGATTGCTTGATAATGTCATGGTGTCAAAATAAAAGCAAACAAACAGAAAAATCTTGCTTTTTGTCATTTTTGTGGTGAAGATTATGCAAATGGTAATGGGTAAAACATGCCAATGCCTATTCAAACCAAGTCCAATGCAACTAAACAACAAGAAGTGATGAAAAACACACTATGATATTGCAACATAGGCTCATTCGAAATACGTGCCTCTAAATATATTTGATTTAAAATTGAAAAAATTTACCTATACATACGAATCGCTGCAGTTTCCAGTTGAAATGAACACTAGAGGCAGTAAAACTCTAACAACTTTTATTCCTTTTCACACAAAGTATGATTTACAGGTCCACAGTTTCGATTAATAAAGCCTAATTTTCGCACAATTACTTGAGGAATATTATGTTATATATTCAAAACAATTTTAACATGCTCCGAGATTTCAAAACTGATACTTTTTAACGTTAGCGTCTCATATCCAGCTTCATATGTATTGGTTTTCATGTTCGGTAGGTTTGTTCGGTAGCTCACGCAGTATGGAGTTGTACTTGAGTGGTGAAGAGCTCCGGTACGAAACCCGTGAAACTATGCTTCAAATGGCACGGTTGCATCAACAAATGCATTTTTATATCAGTTTTGCATTTGTTAACACTATCGGGTATGTTTACGGTTGGGTTTGGTGTAGGGGATATTCCCAACACGATAACTTTTAGCGACACTCCCCGGATATTTGAATTATGAACCGCCACAATACGTACCTGAAGCAACGTAATAAAAACACAGCAATATGTGCCTATATCAACGTAAAAAAATGTGCCAGTGTCACATATTGAACCCGTGTTTTAGTGCTACTCACTGGACATTTCACTTTGAAACTGCCGCGAAACGTGCAGTAAGGTACATAATAACGGTGTTGCAGAAATGTATTTAGAGGCCCGTATTTCACACGAGGTTGTGATATTTTGTGCTTGGTTTAGAGATGTTGTGATTGGTTTGAGTGTGTATGCAGATTGCAGTATAAGTAATTAGTGCATCACTGAGCTTGTTTTGTTCTGTTTATCTCCAGATTCTTGGAGTTTCCTGGTGTGGAGTCCACAAAGAAAAGATGCATCAATAAGTAGTCTGTTCTTTCTTTCTTTCTGTCATGTTTTCTTTTTCATTTGCCATTCTCATCTTCCATTTTCTGTACATTTTTCTTTCTTTCTTTTTTAATTATTTGTCACTTAAATGCGAAGGAAGTAATTCTATGATTCCACAAAGGAGCTTTGGTATTATATTTTTAATTTAATTTGAAGTCTCAGCAATGTATATATGTATATCTATATTTTCCCAAGTTATGGTTTTAGCCTTCATTTTCAATACAAATCTTTCTTCTTTTGGCTCATTTTTGGAGTTTTTTTGTGCGTCAGGAAAAAGCTGCACAATTAGGCGGAAGAAATTAGTTAAAAGGAAGCAAAAGTTGCATTCTGATCATTCCTGCTTGTCCTTTAAGACCATTGACTTTCAGACTCTCACATGCTTTTTCACTCTGCCTATATAAGGTTGAGCTAATTTCCTGAGCCCCTCAGTTGCTCGTAATGCTGATTGGCAAATGTGTTCCAGAGCGGTTGGCGTCATCTTCAGTAAAGCCTCAGTGCTGATGATGTAAAGATTTGGCTGTAAACTGCTATAAGCTCACGAGCCAGTCAGTCCCAATCAATTTACTCTCCTCTTAGTCCAGTTAAACCTTCAATGGTGTAATGCTGGCCGTTATGGTCTGGGGTGCACAAAGAGAACAGCTTCTCCATTTGGACGCTTGCACATTGTTTTGGTGGCAGTGTGATGCTGGGGTCACTGAGAGCTCACGGTTTAGAGAGGAGTTGCCTCAGTTAATGGGACGTGTTTGAAGACACAGTAGTTAGACTAATTACAGAGGAAAAGAGAAGTAAATAATGTGACTTAAGGACTGTTACACCACACATAACTGTTTTTTTCTTCTTTTGTGTTTGGCACATAGGGCTGGCACTGCAGGTTGTAATTTTACTCTACCCTGCATGATTATAAACAAATCATAAAAATTCAGTGTAATTCAGTAAATATTTCTGTTCAGTTTTAGGCATTTTACACTTCTTTGATTATTTTTGAATAAATTTAACTCTGGTGGATAGCAAAGTTGATTATTTTTGATTGTTTTTAAATAAATTTAACTCTGGAGGATTGCAGAGTTGATTATTCCGTCTGTCTATAGCTCTGTCAGTCTGTCTGTCTGCCTGTCTATAGTTCTGTCTGTCTGCCTATAGCTCTGTCTGCCTGTCTATAGCTCTGTCAGTCTGTCTGTCTGCCTGTCTATAGTAGGGCTGGGCGGTATATCGAGTAGGGATGCACCGAATGTTCGGCAACCGAAATTATTCGGCCGAAAATAGCAACAAAAGCTCTTTCGGTTTTCGGCCGAATAAGTGAAAAGACCGAATAAATTGTACCGAACAATGACGTGACACGATCAAATAGAGGCGCGCACTGATGCAGCAAACATGTCAGCAGTGTGGAAGCATTTAAAACTGTCCGAGAAAGACGCAAAAATCATTACAAGCAC